GCCGTAACCAGGGACACTGATCTCCAGACAGCAAACTCTCCCGGGCGCTCCGGGAGTCTCCCGCTCCCGGCCACCCAGGAGGAAAAACACTGCTTTTTCTTTTTTTTTCTTTATTCTGACACGGAGCCGATATATGGCAGAAATCAGCCGTACCAGCCTGAAGTGAATAGCCAAACAGCGTTCGGCTCACTTCACTTCAGGTCGTTCTTTCACTTGGCTGCCTGCGGCAGCTTAGTGGATAGACCCCTATGTTAGGTTGACGAGGGCACGAAGGTGATTTTTCAAAAGTTTGTGATCACTAAAAATTCATTCACATCATCCAACATCGATGTTGCCACCTGGGGATGAATCTGGTTAGGGAATATTTTTATTGTTATTTTTAGGATATACATACTGTATAGATATATAAATATATTTCTTTATGTATATACTGTATATTTATTTATCTGTTTTTTAACTTTATTCATTACTTCATCTCTGTTCCCTGAAAACATTTTACATTAAAAAAGAAAACAAAAGCACAGAAAATGTCATAAAGGAGAAAGAGTTTCTTTATTGTTCACAGCAACACTTTTGTTTTAATGTGTTATTGATAGATTTCCATTAAGCAACATCAGTAGCACTCTGCAAGCCACTACATTTGGCCCAAGACTAAAAAATCTTCACACAACCACATCTCTCCCTTCAAGCCACATCTCTCTCCTATCTGAAGCACCATCTGCTTCCCCAGGTTACTTCTTATGTAGCCTCCAAGCTACAGTATATGTACTCTTTCCAAATTAGCCACTTTGTACCCCCTCACAGACACATCTCTGCTAGAACCTCTAACTCCTGAAAGCCAACAGCACCCACCTAGTCCTACTTCATTCTCTGCATGCCACAGGCCTAAATTCAATTTTGTAGTCAAACTCTCTTCCCTAACAATGTACACCTATGGTACACTTACATGTGATTTGTGCCAGTGTTACTCGAAGGTCTAAAGGCAGGGGCCACTGGGCAGACCAACGGGCTAAAGACGAATGTAAGGATGCCTGCAGCAAGAAGCCTGACATGATACCGGTAGGAGCCCTCACCGCAGAACAAGGACTGACATAAAGAAGATATAAGGGTGGACCCCTACTTTTCATCATTACCTTTATCCAGGTGGGCTCCTTCCTTCCATCATTACTACCTGAGTTCACAAGCTATACAGTAGTAACATGAAACCTGCCAAACCACTGCTATTTCCTTCTAAAAAGGTACATTTTTGCCAACCCCTTCCTTTCATTTCTTACTTGGCGAAAGATGAATTTGTCATGAGTCAACAGCATATTTAAGGTAATTATTTGGTTGTGTTCAGCCTTTTTAAATGTTTTACATATTAGGAGATCTTGCAGGTAAAAGCATTGAAAAACAAAGTATCCCAATTGTTTTTTTATTTCTATAGACTCTTTTTTTATTGAGGCACATTGGCAATGTGCCTCTGAACTTGCTATGGACTTCAAACTTTAGAAACTGTCAACTGCCTAGCACAGTCCCCTTCATGTAGCAAACAAGGGAGCAGCGAAGGGGAATACTACAAAGTGTCACTTATGTGACAGGTCTGAGTCTGCTGGGGCTGCCTAAAATACATTAAATGCATATAGCATTTTATAGGAAGACCGCTGTTAAAATAAATGGTCTTGTGTTCTCTTATCCAGATACCGGAACTTCCGGTCAGAGGGAGATTTCCTCTGACCGGCAGCTCCATGAGGGAACATGGAGCTGTCTTCCGGCCAATCAGGAAGCCGGGCCACGGGTAATGACTCACCACCCGGGTTCCTGAATGGCCGGGAAGCAGGCTCCAAGCTGTTTGGCCGGCTCGATGCTATCAGCATTCTGATTGGGTGGAATGCTGGCTTCCCGGCCAATCAGCATTGAGCCAGCCAAACAGCATGGAGCCGGCTTCCTGGGCAATCAAAAAGCACGGTGGCGGGTAATGACACGCTGCACGGCTTCCTGATTGCCCGGGAACCCGGCTCCATGCTAATGGAAGTTCCAGTATCGGTACTCGGTATCAGTGGGTACTCAAAGATAAATATCGTTACTTGTACCCAATACTGAAAAACCGGTATCGGTGCATCCCTAGCCTCCACCATTGGGAGTACAACGGGTGCCAATCATAAGCCCATCCTTTCTCATCGACTGCACTCCAAATAGATCGATCGTACATGGTTGATTTTTGAAAGATGCAATACACAGTCACATAGCATCCCCATTTCTTCTACCACCCAACTCTTACATGTTTCACCCATATGGGGTTACATATAGACATGGGGGGCATCAGTAGGTGGGAACTCTTTATAGATACACAATCTGAAACAGTTTTTAGAAGCTGGACGTTAAGTTATATTGTTCAACCTAAAAAACACAAAAGAAGAGGCGCCTTTCCTGGTGCAATATCATTTAATCCAAAAAGACAGGCATAAAGATGAATTGACAGGTACTCACTATGTAGAAGATAAAAACAAGCCGTTGGACAATATAACCAGAGGAATAAAAAGATCCGGATAGCGTGTCCTGTATAAAGCACTGCTGTGCTAATTACATATAAAATGTACATATTATATGTGCTAATTACATATAAAATATAATTTGCCGCAAGGGCAAATAATGTCATATATGACATACCTTGACGCACAATTGATGAATTGTTTAATGGGAAACGTTTGACACCCACGGTAAGAGATATCCTTTTTTCTGTGCCACAAAAAAGGACAGGCACCGCAATTATGAACGTTGCATTTATAACACCCCATTTGTCCAAAGAGTCCTTTGCCTAAATTGGATGCTTTAGTAGATTTAAGTCTACTAGCAGGGAGGAGACTGGCATTATGTCCTGATGAAGGGGGCGTGCCCCGGAAACGCGTCGACACAGCAGTGCTTTATACAGGACACGCTATCCGGATCTTTTTATTGCTCTGGTCATATTGTCCAACGGCTTGTTTTTATCTTCTACATAGTGAGTACCTGTCAATTCATCTTTATGCCTGTCTTTTTGGATTAAATGATATTGCACCAGGAAAGGCGCCTCTTCTTTTGTGTTTTTTAGATGTTCCAGTACCCTTGACTGTTTTTGAGGCTGCACCTTGCATATGTGCTTACGATTTCTTCCCCAGGAGGGGTAAGGATTGTCCTTGGCGCTTTTAAAACCATAAACTTTTCTATATTGTTCAACCTGTATGAAGCTGGATGTTAAGTTATATTGTTCAACCTGTTAAGTTATATTGTTCAACCACACAGGTGATTGAGTCCATTTGACACAGAATGGGTTACTGCCGAGGAACTCTCACCTGGATGTCTGGTTCTGTATCTATAAAGAGAACCCTCCTCCCGCCACCCCAATCTCTATGAGTAAGCCCATATGAGTGAAAAGTGTTAGCAGTGGGCGGTAGAAGAAGCAGGGATGCTATTTGACTTTGTATTGGATCTTGCAATAAAATGTTTATACTGAAGTGGAGCGGTGTGCAATCAATCTATTGTAACTGCAATGCATCTCGTAATGCATGTTACAGCTCTGTTGTCTTTAATGTTATCAGTTTTACCATTGATTGTTACACTCTTTTGTTGTAAACATTTCAAAACAAATAAAAACATACTGAACCGTAAACCTTAAAAGAAAAACCCTAGAAAATAAAAACAGTTTACAAAACCCCAGAATATGAGTATTAAGATTTCACCTTTGCACCCTGTTCTTTCTGAATAGTGACTGCTGATAATAA